TAAAAGCATCATATTTTAAATACCTTTTAGAATGATGAACCTTCAAAATATCATATTCATCATTAAGTACCTTTTAGAATAACACCCTTATTTTTGTTATTTAATATTATTGTATTTTATGTTAATTGATTGTCCATGTTGCTTGGAATTAAAAGAGTTTAAATTGTGATAGTTGCAAGAATCTCGCTCAAGCGAGATAGAGTATTTTGAACTAGGCATTATAAGGCACTCTTGCTCAAGTGACATGAGTCTCGCTTTAGCGAGAAAGGATAATATCGTCCCAATTGTCCTCTTATCCAGGCGAGGAGTCGCAGGAAAAAATGAAGAACTCTCTTGACTCATTCTCGCACAAGCGAGAATATAAAAAAAACTAAGAAAATCTCTCTATCTGATTTTCTCACACAGACGAGAGCCTACTCACTCAAGTGAGAACTCACAAATTTTGAGGGGTACTTAAAGAATTTTCAGTCTTAAAACTTGTATTACAATCCAAGAAACCTTTTCTAACTTTTTATCTAAACTCTATCTTTCCTCTATCTTAGAGAAAACCCCTAAGCTCTAAACTTGTTCTGAATCTGAACTTAAACATCTGTTCTATTGAATCTCTAATAAGCTTATCAGAGTTTAACTTTTCAATCTCACCTCTATTTTCCTCTATTTTCTCTTTTCTCAAAGTACTTTCTTTTGTGGTACCTAAGAAGATCTTGGTCTTTTGGATGATCTCTTCCATAAAACTATCTCTTTGAGGTAAGGAGAGCTCTATTCTATTACTAAAAACATGAGGTATTTTCATACTCATGAACGTGTGATAGTAATCATTTTGTACTCATGAGAATGCTGTTGTGTAATTTTTGTTTGGAAATATGTGTTTGAATGAAACTATTGATGATTTAGTTATTTTGATGAAGTATGTTTTCTTTGTTCTTGATGACTTGAATTATATGTTTATTGAATATGTCTAATTTGGACTAAGTCTGGAGGTGTCCGACCTTTGGTATGATTGATTGATGTATGATACAAGAGTGACTTGAATAAAATGGAAAAAGAAAAAGAATGAACATTATGTAATTATAAAAATGGAAAATTTATGATATGATGAAAAATAAAAAAAGAGAGCAATTATAATGAGAAATGATAACAGATAAGGATATGTATGAATAGTTACAGAGATACATAAAGTGTGAAAGATAGAGGCAATTTTGAAAATCTGAAAGAAATAATAGTGGTGAATGCTTTTCTTTAATTGCGCAAGATTAATAAGAGTAAAAGCATCACAGACCTCACACTCATTTTCTGACCTAAACTCTTAACCATGCTTTTGCTAAAAGGGGCTGTGTTGGCATATGTTGTATTCACATTGCTACAGCTAACTAACAGCTATCTATACTAAGGAATACCTCAAGGGATCTTAGAAGAAGTAAAAGATTGAGACAAGTACTATTAATAGTAACAATAGAATGAAACCATAATAGTCATGAACGTTGTGTGTATATGAAATTACTCTAGAACGTACTTGTCATTTCTGTTTGGTTGATGTGTTATTCATTTATGTATGACTTGACATGATTGTGTTAAACATGTTTACTAGTGTGAAAAGACGTTCATCCTTACTAAATATTTTAGGGAACAAGGATGAAAGACCATCAAATATAAATCTATCTTGTAAATTATATACTGAATTATGTATTTAATCAATATTAGCATGTGTGTTATTTAAATTTGCTGTAGAATATAATAATGAATTAAGAAGCAATTCTACCCTAGAAATGACATTAGATTATAGTGTTCATTTTAATTATCTTGTAAATAATAGGGTTCACCACACTCTTAGTATATATATATATGGTAAATTATCTTCTCACACTATTGTAAGTCTAAAAACTCTTATACTCAATCTGAACCTTTTATTTAACTTACATCTAACGATCAGTGAAGTAATAAATTATAATCCGTTAGATGTAAGTTAAATAAAAGGCTCAGATCAAGTATAAGAGTTCTTAGACTTATACTAGTGAGAGAAGATCATAGCCCTATATATATATATATATAGAAAAGGATAGTCCAAACCCCAACAATTACGAATTTTGTATACACCTTCCATGACCATGACTACTTTGGAAGACCAACTTGGTTCATCTTAGAACAAGAGACAGGTACTGAGGTCGTGGCCGAAGTGATCTTGGCAAGGATGAAGATTTGACCTCGGAAGAGTTAGTTAAGATCAAGGATTGATTTGAGAATGACGACTAGGATCGTTCTCAATAGTTTGGTATAAAGATAATTGTTCATTAAGACTTAAATTATTTTGATTCTTTTATAAATTATGTATATGAGTCCTAATATATTTTTAAAATTATGGTTTGTAATTATCAAACTCATGTACATTAATGAAGGTTAATATATATATATATATATATATATATATATATATATATATATATATATATATATATACTCATCTTTTATTATTTTTACATTTTATAAACTAAGTAACAAAGAAAAAAGTTTTAAATTTTAAAGAATTTTGCATTATGAAAATAAGTAAATTTACCTACTTTTTTTTTAACATAAATTATTTCGCAAAATTGTATAAATAAAATAAAAATGTTATAACAAAACCTCGTTTGTTTCATACCACTTAGTCAATAATTAAAAAAAATGGCACAACAAGTGAAATCCCTTGAAATAGAGAATAAAGAAATTTTCACATAGAAAAATCAATCTAAAATTTATGGTCTAAATGAAATCAAAGAACAAATTTGAAAAACATACGGGAGTTGTAGTCAATAGCTTGAAAGGGGCACACTAATAGGAATAGCACCCTATAACATTGTAAACGAATATCAGGAGGAGAAGTTGCATATACAACCAGATCTTAAAGATAAAATGGAATAAATTATTAATGAAACAAGAGGAGTGTGAATGCAAAGGACTAGTGTGGAGAAAATTGTGCATACCTACAACGAAGAAGAAGAACTTATGGCAATCTAAGGTACAATGGCTAGTTGGAAAGCCTTTCAGTTCAAGTCAATCTCTTGATTTACATTTATGTAAAGCCGTTGCAACTAAGCTACATACCAATCACCCTTAGATGATGACCTTAGCAAGTTGTCTTTTCATCTTACAGCAAACAAGAATATGTCTTTCTAAATAATTTTATATAAATTAAAATCAATAATAATGTCTACAAAAACTTTAAAAAATTACTAATATCTAAAACAAAATTAACCTAGTGTCTTCGAATATCATTTCTTCTACAAGTTCAAATTACAATATATATATATATATATATATATATATATATATATATATATCTTATAATAAATAGACTTACTAAAGTTTTGGAATCTGTAGTGATGAGAGATTTGTATATGCCTCATCACATAATATTAAACTCTCAACTCCTAACTTAAAGGTAAAAGAAAAATATTAAATATTAAACAAAAAGGGGCAACTAAACTTACATGTGGATAAATTCATGTAGGTTTTTTTCTCATAACATGTTTACTCTCCAACATTTTGCATGATTTCCTATTAATTAACTTAAAATAATAATTTACATGTCAATGATGACTTTTAAACAAGATTCACAAGAAGACAAGTGAAGATTCTATAATTTAGAAAAGAGACAAATAAAATCTTAAAGTAATTTGTATATTAAATATAAAAAAAAGTAATTGTTCAAATATAATAAAATATATTAATAAATACTTTTTTACATTGATTATATAGTACTATCGATATGAAAAATACTTTCAATACTATACTATTGATGTAGAAAGTTTCTTAACAAAAAAAAATCTAAACATTATTTTTTACATAAGTTGCTTTCATAATTGATGTAAAAAAAATATTTCTTACATTAATTATATAACATAAAATCTTCTCCAAAATTTTTTAAAAAATCACTCCCCTCATTCTTTACATCAATTCTCCTTTAATTAGTGTAAAAAGTATTTTATTACATGAGTCATGTCTATAATCAATATAATAAATACTTTTTATATTAATTATATAGAAAAATTAATGTAAAAAAATTTATGAAAAATTTAAAAATGCCACTATATATTTTTTTACCTGAGTTCTTTATTAATTGAGATAAAATTCTATTATAAAAAATTATTTTTGTACTAGTGTATCATTCAAATCTATTACTCTAATTTTAAGAAAAAAAAATTACTTTGTTCAATCTTTTTTATAGGAATTTTAAAACTAAATTACATAAATTAAAGAGTTATTAAAAATAATTTTTAATATAGATAAAAATAATTAAAGTATTACAAGTTAATCTCTTATTAAAGATATTATTTTTTTTACCTTCAAATAATAGTTACAATTTTTCTAATGTACCACTAAGAGCACATGTATACAAAATAAAAAATAAAAAATTCTTACATTTATTTTTTATTTTTAAATTTTTAAAAATATTTAATAAATTAATTTAAAGTATTTAATAAGATATTTTTAATACTTTCCACCATGTTTTTACCCATTCAAATTTTTGGCTCAAATAACGTGTACCACACGTTAAAAAAATTATTAAAGTAAAACCTTATTGTAATAATATTAAGAAAAGACAAAATTTAGGTACACATTTTTAAAAGTTTTAATATTGTTTATCAATTATTTTAAAGTTTCACTTTAATAATCCAAAAATATTAAGTACAGACTCTGTTGAAAAATAATATTAAAAGTATATAAATACAGAATCTACTGCGTTAAAATTCTAATATAATTGAAAAATAACATTAAAAGTATATAAGAAAGTGTGCATATAATTTTATTAAATAATTGATAAGAAGTTATAAATGTAAAAAAAAAATTCTAAAATTTTGTAAAAGAAATTATTAAAAACCAACAAAAATAAAATTTATTTTAAAATTTTTATAAAAGATACATATTCACCTCCGTTAAAACGAGCATCATAATTTGAAAATTGTGTTTGGTTGTAGCAATTTATAGTATAATCCAAACAGGCAATAAGATTCCCAATAATTTGAAACTAACAACTGAGGGATAGTGATTCAATATTATTTGTTGAATTAAAAGAAGATGAAGATGGTAAGTGAACACTGATGTGTAGGTCAGTGGATAACCACTGAGGCAGTTACTAATCAGGCACGGTCGAAACCCCCGTCCACCGCAAGATCGTGTCCGTTAACGAACTCAGAATCACGAGACGCAAGAAACAGCACCGCATCTGCGACATGTTTCGGGGTCAAAACGATGCCTTTCAGCCTTGCGTTTTGTGCATACTGCTTTTGCAACTCTTGGGTCTCCATCGTCGCGTGCGCAGCACGTGTCAACGGTGTGGCCAACCCACTCGGTGAGACGCAGTTCACCCTAATCCCGTGCACCCCAAGCTGCGCACTCGCGCTCCGCACCAAACCCTTCACCGCGTGCTTCGACATCACGTAGTCCGTGCGTTTAAAACCACCGTGCGACGCCGCCACACTCCCCGTGCACACGATGCTACCCTTCACGCGCCGCTCCACCATCGAACGCGCCGCGTGCTTCACGCACGCCGCCATGCCCCGCGTGTTAACGGCGAATAGGCGGTCGAACTCCGTGAAGTTGAGGTCCAGGATGTTCTGGTCAGAAGGACTGAGGATGCCGGCGTTGCTGAACATGATGTCTAACTGATCGTGAAGGTTGACCGTCGAATCCACAAGATGTTTGACTTGGTCTTCGTCTGTCACGTCGCAATGGACATAGCTGCACCTTCACTCAAATTATGTTTTAGAATCTAAAATTAAGTTCAAATATTAATTAAAACATGTTTCTTATGAATACAACTTGATTTATATTCGCCAACCATTATTTGAAATGTGTAAATCATAAATCAAGCAAGATCCTATTAGCAATATTTTCAAGGTCAAACTTTAATTAAAAATATCAAATTAAATAATATAAAATGAATATTTAAAAAATATTTTTACAACCATAATTCTATGTTAAAAACTAAATTTTAACATGATCACACTTTTGCTTGTAAGTATATAAACGCGAAACGTTCTTTGAATTGAATACTCCTTTTTGTTGGTGTGTTTATTTTCTAATTAGAAATGTTTAAGACATTTTTGTGATCATTAATATAAGCATTTTTTAATTTTATAAAATATTTATTATTTTTTAACATATATATCTTATAAATTTAATGTCTTCAAAAATTTTACAATTAATATAATAATAGAATTTGACTCTTAATAAAAAGTTATAGTATTATAAATAATGTTTTAAAATTAATTTATTAACTATTTAAAACATTTTTTAATTTGAATAATTTATTAAATAATGTGGTGTTGGGTTGTACCTGTGAGAGCCAATGGAAGCTGCGATTTGGTTGCCGAGGTCATCTTGAATGTCTGCGATAACTACCATACGCGCACCCTCGCTGGCGAACAGACGCGCCGTCTCTTCCCCGATGCCGCTAGCGCCGCCGGTGATTATGGCAACTCTGCCGGCTAACTTGTGACCACTGGTGATGGAGTTATCTGCCTCAGCCATTTGTTTTGTCCTCAGTTAGTTCCGCTAATTCGTTGAGGCTCTGCGTATGGAGGGCGGCATCTAATCTCATTTATACTCCTAAAATTATAAAAAAAAAAAAAAGTAATTATTTAATACATTTTAAATAATTTTTAGCTATTTATTACAGTTAATTAAAATTATAAAACAATAAAATTTTAAAATATTATATATAATTCGTTGCTTACATATTTTGTTTTGTGACTCGTCTCAAGGCTTCGAATTACGCTGAGCTGACACGTACAATTTCAGTGTCCTTTTTACGTTTTATTGAGAAAATTAGTGTTAATTAAAATGGAACAACTTCAGATACTTTATCATATATGTTTTTTATGTCAGTTATTTAATAATACGGTCAACTTTTAATTTTAATTTTTATTGTATAAATGATTAGATAAAATTTGATTTTAATTTAAAATTAATACAAAATCCATCAGGATTATTTACGACATTATTTTGTTTCTACAATTCTATATATGCCAATAGCATATAAAGTAATGCACGTGCTATGTAACCTTTTATTTATTAGAAACTGTTTAGACTATGTACAATTTAATAAATGAAAAATAAAATTATGTATTTTTATAAATAACTGTATATATAATAAAATTATTTAAAATAATATGTTTAAAAATCATTGTTATTTAACTTTATAATTATAAATAATATATAAATAATAAAACTAAACAAAATTAATAATTTTAAAATATAAATATTATATTCTTTTATAAAAGTTCTGGGTATTAAATGTATGAATTTTGACTTTAATATATAAATGGTTAATATTTTAAAAATTTATAATTTTTTATTTGCATGTTCATTTTAATTTTTTAAAATAAATTTATTTAAAAAATTATGTTTTTAATTAAAATACATTTTTAATCTTTATAATTGATGTGTTTATAAATCAGTTTATATATTTGAAAAAATTATGATTTAGTTTCTATACAGACTAAATTGTAAAACTTTTAAATATAAATTAATTCGTAAATAAACTAATTTTTATATGTATATTTTTAACAAAATAACTTGAATGATGTAAATTAAATTTTAACACTATTAAAAATTTATTTTGAAAACTAAAAAATTTAAAAGGCTTCTTAACACTGTCAACGTTACATAGCATGTTCCTTTTTTAATAGCATTTTACTTTATTAAAAAATAGTAAATATTTCAAAAAAATAATTAATTAAATTTTATAGAGAAAAATATCTATAAAATAGAGGTGTAAATTAATGTTGTTGATTTAGTTTTCTCTTTTATTTTTATTTTTTATAAATACTTTTTAAAAAGTTAATTCAAATTGGACCAAAGTAAAGTTGAGAGGCAAACCCAACCTGACATGTGCAGAAGAGACCGTGGTACCATAACATGAATAGGATCATGATGGTTAACTAAATCTATTCCTTTCACGTGAAGCAACTTGAATTGGAAAATTTGGCAAACTGAGAATATACTTTTGCAGTCCCGAAAGAAAACATGTCTACATAATGATTTCCTAAGAATAATAGGACTCAAATTTATCACTTCCATTGAATTTATTTCCAGGCAAAGAATCACTAAGGTTTATTCAATAAATCATGTTGGAATACCAAAAAGGAAAAAAAAATTAAACTGTTGATTTTGTAATCAACAAACACATGTTGATTAACCAAAACCATATTGAAGACATGTCAATGGAGGTCATTCCAAAACCAAACCATTATTGCAATTTATATTTTATTTTCTTTTTCCTTCATTTTTCAATTAATAGCCAAGCAGCAAACACAAGGACTGGATAGCACATTTGCATTTGCTAGAACAATAATTTACATCAGCAAAACAATGAAACATTGTTAGCAGCAGCATAGCATCTTAGATTGTATGAATAACTTAAGAGTGGTCTGAATGTGAATCATAAAAATCACTTGGGCAAGGAGACATAACCTCTTGTTCCAGCAACTGTAACACTTGGTTCATTGATGGACGTTCATCTGCGTTTGCATCAGTACAACTTGCTGCTAAATCAACAATCACTTCAACAGATTCCCAATCTGCATCAGTGCACCTTTTGTCTACTACATCTTCCAATTTATTTTCTCTCAGGAAGGTGTTCATCTACAATTAATTACCCTCAATTTATTAGTTTTGAAACAACACCAATAACACACCGCTGAACTCGGTCAAAAACCGAAATTTTTGAGATGTTAATTAGTTTTGAAACATTCGTGAGAAAATAAGGAACAAAATGTTGATTTATGACTTGTGAATTGAATGAGTTGAGGCTTACCCAACCAACAACATTTACACCTCTCTTTGCAAATGAAGGATCTGTAGGTCTCTTTCCAGTAACAAGCTCTAGCAATAGAACTCCAAAACTATACACATCTGACTTCTCTGTGGCTCTCCCACTCTGTAGATACTCTGGTGTTGACATATAAGTAAAATAAATCATCAAAATTGTTGTAATTCACGCATATTATTTAAAACTTCAAAATTGACTCAATTCAGAAACCTATACTCCAGAAACACTACATCAAAACATGTGTTGCATTTCTTAATATGTTGAATACAGATACAAAGGTTCTGCAGCTCAATTTATATGTTAAATAGCTATGTGTGAAACTAGCAGAAATTTTGTTTAATGCTACTACTAATTGAATAATTCGGTAACATTTTTAGCAGAATTATTTATCATTTTATCTACACCTTTATATAGCTAGGAAATTCATTCTTTGAGGCATCGTCAAATATCAAGGTGCAAACAATCACACACTCTTTACAAGTGACATAAGGACATACCTGGTGCCAAATAGCCAAATGTGCCAGCAACCACTGTTGTAACATGGGCATCTTCATCAACCAAAAGCTTTGCAAGACCAAAATCAGAGACCCGAGGCTCCATGTTTTCATCAAGAAGGATGTTGCTGGATTTTATGTCACGGTGCACAATTTTTGGACTGCAGTCATGGTGCAAGTAAGCCAAACCCCGGGCAGAACCAAGGGCTATCTTTAGACGAGTACTCCAATTCAGTGATTGTTCAATGTTTTCTAAAGCAGAGAGGATTCAATAAAACGTCAGAAAAATAGACTGAAAGGCATGCCATCATGAAATCATAATTGGTCAAACCCCACCCTTCTCCTAGAGGCTACAGTTCATTCCAAACCAAGTTCAAAGGTTTAGAATAGTGCTACCCAGCCAGAAAATTTTGATAGTGTTTAACTAGAATCTGTCAAGATTCTAGAAAAGTCAAAGTAAAAAGGACCATTCATCCATTAGTGTAACTAACAATCACAACTCTTTCTAATAAAGATGATTGCAAAGTTCTGACTATAGTATTTGGCTAAATCACAGATCATTCTCTTCTTTGTCAGGGATGCTGATAAATGGTAAAGCAAAACCACATTCACACTCAAGCGGAGGGAGAGACAAATGGAAGGGAAGATTTCTTTTCCTAATAGAATTGTTACTCAAAACATGTAAAGCAACTCTTCTAGTGCGTGTTTGGTTCAGCTTATTTTGAAGACATCGCTTATTTTTTCCAACTACATGAGAGAGCGTTTGAAATATAAGCAACTATTTTCAGAATTAATCTCTTACCAAACATGCATTTATGTTGCCAATTTCTTTGTTATCAGCCCCAGCCTTCTGGAAGAGTCAAAGACTTTCATACACTGGAGTGATGAAAGTTTATTGGCTTTGAAAAACTACACCCCCTCCTATAGGAAAGCCTATGATTCCCATCTAAAATTTGCATTCTCACATAATTGCCAACAAAATTTTCCCATTCATCATTCCCAGATGGTCCTCCAAGAAAACATAGTAAAGGTTAACTTGAAAAGATAAAAATGATTCATACCATGCAAGAGATCATCTAAGCTTCCCATGGCCAAATAATCATAGATTAGAAGCTTAGTAGAAGGGAGTCTGCAATAACCACGCAAGTTTACTAGATTTATGTGCTTGATGCTACCTAAGATCTCTAGTTCCCTTTCAAACCCCTGATCAGAACCTTCACGACCTCTATCAATCCTCTTAACAGCAAATGTACCACAATCATTCATCACCATCCTGTAAACAGTACCAAATCCTCCAGACCCTACCACATCATCTTCATCAAGAGACTCCAACTTTTCTATAATCTCAAATGATGGGTATGGAAGATCACCATGAAAGGTGATGAGTTTTGTGCCTGTTACAACACCATGTTAGTATTTATATAGAAGAAAAAGACAAAAATGTCATTTTTATGTTTCTGTTGCTAAATAGGAGTCTGACATATTTGAAATACCTTCATCCTTCCTACTTGATTCTGGATTGACTTGATCCTTAACTTCTATGTATCTCCTAGCAGCTCTTTCCTTCTTTGACAACAAACAAATCCAGAGTAATGAAAGGGTTACAATAAGTGCAAGGCCCATTATTGATATTGCACCAACTAGCACCCACTTCATGTAATGTGAAGATCTTTTGGTAGGGACTGCATCATACAAATTCAAAACATGATTGCTCAATATGTGAATTTGGTTATAAGATCTAGTAAGTCAAAGGGTATTTAAAAATAGAATGAATCTAAATGTTCCTACAATATCTACCAACTTATTAAAAGATGAAAATGTACAATAATTTTATACTTTCAAGATATTAAACGCATTTACTTTTTCATTTAATACTTCCTTTATTAAACATTAGACGGATTAATATGAAGACATTATAGGAAGATACAACATTACTCCTAAAAATATAAACTGTCAGATTTAACTTGCCTGCAGCTTCATCACTTGCAGCATGTGGCAGCACCACTGGGAAGCCAAGTGATGTCCGACATGGTTTCTGAACTTGCCGCCCACAAAGATCTAAATTCCCAATGAACCTATTCGTATGCAATGAAATTATAAATAGAAGCACAAGCACAAACACCAACTATGAAATTATCAAATTAACCTCCACCACTTTGTGCAAGGATAAAGTATTTAGGTTAACAATATAAACAAGAATTGATAAAGTACACATAAAATGAATGTTGTAATGTCCATCGTCCTACAAACTGCATGAAAATCACTAGAATGAATTCTTAAGTGCAGTCAAAAGCAGTTTTTAGGTCTATCTTACAATTTTGACATTTTAACAACAAATATTCTATCAAGCGCCCTTGTATAACTTTGATTATTTTAGAACTCAATGGCACTATAACTTAAGTTAGTGAGATAATATTAGCTTATTATCACCCGACTTGACCTCATAAGGCCCTACATACAAATAGAAAAATCTAAGATTCTGAATCTTTATTATTAAAAAATATAGAATAGTTGAAATATTGTCTGTTCTAGGGTAAAATGTATCTGCCAAGACACAACATTATTGAGCGAGGGTGCTTACACGTTTTTCCCAAAGGTGCTTAGTACTCCAATGTCAGGGATTTCACCAGAAAAGAAATTAGTTGACAAGTTCCTACGGCAAGCAGAATCAGCATATACTAATCAATATCATTATGCAACACAGGGCAGAACTAAAGGTGGAATAAACTTACAGAACTCGCAAATGTGTAAGACGGCCAATAGAAGAAGGTATAGCACCCTTTAATGAGTTGCTTGATAAATCCCTGTATTTGAACTTTCTATTAAAATTTTTCAAATGAGAACTAAAAAATGGTTGAAAAATAAAACTATAGCTAACTGAAACCGCTACAAAAATAAATAAATAAATAACAATAAATTCATATATCACAGGGTGAGGTAAGCTTCATCAATCATTCGAAGTCATTAAACTTGGTAAAAAATTAAAATTTCAAAGATAAAGCACTAACCAAAAAAGCAGTAACAAAATTACGGGGAAAGAAATAAAATAGAGGCCTTACATTATATGCAAATAAGTAAGATTTCCAATATTTGATGGGATGCCCCCTTGTAAGTAATTAGCTCTCAAGTACCTATCATAACCAGATGAAGCATGTCCTCAAATATCAATATAAGAATTATCCACAAACAAGATAACTGAACTAATGTTCACGTACAGTGCTCTAAGCTCAGTACAATTGCTGATTTCATTGGGAATAATTCCATGTAAGCCATTCTGATGAAGTGCCCTGAATTGTTATTGCAAACACACAACTAAGAGATGTTAAATTCTCTACACTTTGAGAAGTGAATGATTTGGGGAGGAACATGTTTGTAGAACTTACAGTCTATGTAGTCTACTGAGTTTGCCAATGCTGGGAGATATAATCCCCCCCAGTTGCATATAAGGTAAATTTCTGAAGCACACGAGACAAATATAAAGTTGTCATGCCCTCGTACACTCGAGGGAAAAAAATGAGAAAAGTCAAGGGCCTGTTTAGTTTCATTTTTTTTTCTTTTTTTTTTGTTCATGTTTTAAAAAGTTATAGTAGCCCGGTTTTATTGACGATGACGACTTTGTATTATCTGTGAAAAATATATTAAAAAAAGCATTTTCATAACAAAGTATATCTGAGAAAATGAAGAGTGTGTTCTGCTTACATACATTGAGCGAACTCGTTGTTCACCAGGATGACAAGTGATACCAATCCATGTACAATGAGACTCATCAGACTCTCGCCAGTTGCTAAGAACATTCCTTGTGTCATTCAAAGTGCTTTTGATTTCCAGCAGCGCGATTCCTTATATATGAATGAACACACACACACCAAAAAACAATGTTTGAAATATTAAACCTGCATTATTTTATCTTATCTTCAAAGAAAAAATAAAGGGACTGAACGGTGAAAACTGGAAAGAACCCAAAATGCATTTATTCATCCCCCAAAAAAAAAAAAAAAGCAACTGTACTACAAATTTTTTTCAACTCAACATTATCAATGCCTAATTTATTTTGTAACTCAATGGCAACCAAACGCAGTAAATGTATAAAGGAAGATAACAGAAAAAGCACCCCCACAAAGAACAGGGTTTAACTCAGAAAAAAAGGGGGTTCAAATATAGTTCTTACCGTCTTGCGTAAGAGCAAGAGATAAAGAGCAGAAAACAGTGGCTGAAATCACCAACAGCACCCACACTACATGACCCATTTCCATTAATGCCTTCAAAATGGACTCTTCTGCTCAGGTTTTACAACTTATTTGGGAGGAAATGGAATCAAGCACTGGTTACACTCTCACTGTGACTCTGAGATAGTATCAACAGTGATAATGATTCCAGTTGGTGGAGTTGTGATGACAATAAAGACCTCAAAGGGTTACCATGATAACTAACAAAAATAATAATTTGAACTTTTGAAGCATGTAGAGAGAGACAGAGAGAGGGAATGGGAATGCTTCTTTTTCACTCCAATAATTATTAATATTTATATGAAAAGATTGAAACTTAAAAAATGCAGGGTTTTGGAAAGGCGGTACAAAAAGGGATGCAAGGTGAAGTAGCCGTTCTGCAGTGCAAAATTCAAAACATGAAATATTTTTTTTCTGGGTTATATCGCACTCTCGTCTAAGCGATGAAGAAGGATACGCGCCAGTAATTCTCCCACTTATTATGTTAGAATTAATGGGAAGCAATCTCTGCAAGGCCACATCATCAACAGAAAAGTACTAACAAAAATGTTAACAATACATTTTTTTTTTTGTAATGTATATTTTTAACATATTTTATGACATTGATTTAATTTTAAAAATTTAAAATTTTATAAAAAATATTTAATTTAAAAAAATTGAATTGGGGATACCCGTGTATGTACAAGGTGGAGAGTAGTGGAATTATAAAACATTAGCGCGTGCTCTCGTGTTTCCGTGTTTTTGGGGGCCCCGTGTTTTTGGGAATACGGGGCTGTTTCATGGTAGTGGCAGCATCCAACATGAGACGTCGTTTTTTTTTATAATAAAACAGCATACATGAGGCCCATCGCTATGAAAATCTTAAATGATGTCAGTAGCAATGTATTGTGCGTTAAGATTGTTAAAATTTTGATTGACCAAAAAGAAATTATTAAAATTTTATTTGGAATAAATTTATATATTTTGTTAAGAAGAAATTTTTAAATAACAAAAATTTAAGTTTTAATAAATGATAAATAATTCTATCTTCAATAAATCATTTTAAAAAGTTAATTAATCTTTTTAAGTATTTTAATATTGTTTAACAAACTATGCAAGTAAAGATAAAATAACTGACCATTTGATTAAAAATGATGGATCAACTAGACACACATTATCAAAGTAATCAACTACAAATTATAGACGATCTTTTTAGTGATGTAAACTTTCAAGTTATTAATATCAGTTATAACATAAAAGTTAAGTCAGTAAAATTGAAGTACACATTAAAAAATATAAAAGAATAATTATGTGAAAAGAAAAGATTTTATATAATTCTCTCTACTTATTAGACTAAAAAGTAGAAAAAATTAAAGAATACAAGAAGTACTCTACTACAAGTTAAAAAAAGAGCTAAACATATTAGGCAAATAACAAAAAAAGTTATTATACGTATCTACTGAACAAATGATCATGCCTAATAAAAAAAATTAAAAACGACAAAAATTATATTTTGAATCAATTTTTCTTTTACTATATATATTAAGAAATGCCTTTTATGAGTTGCATGGGAAGATAGTAAGTGAAACACGTAGAGATAGTGGTATAAAAATACTTGAATTATGAGATACCCGTTGTAACTTTGATTAGTAGTGATATTATTTACTATGTGCCAAACATTAGATATAACTCTTAGATTTAAGAGTAAATTAGTATAAATTGTTATGTGCTATTTTTCCAGCCTTATCCATGATGCATTTGAACATTAAAAAGATGAGGGGAACATGTTTCTTAACAAAACAAATTTCTCTCCTGTTGACTATGTGTGAAGGATTGGACATAACTATTAGATTTAAGGTAGAACTAATATAAATCTTTGTGCCCTATTTTTTCAGCCCTATGTGTGATGCATTAAATATTAAAAGGGGAGGAGAACATGTTTTTAAGAAATCATATTCAACCCTCCTCCTTTCTTCTACTTTCAAAGCTATTTTGTATTTTTAAAAATATTTACTCTAATATAAATATCTACTAAAACCTAAAGTAAATTCCATTTCACAACCTAACTTAAAAATTAATTTATTTTTCTAATTTTTTAGGAATCAAACTTATTTATAATTTGTTATAGTTAAATATATATATATATATATATATATATTATAAATTTAATTCTTGCACTTCTTATTATTTTTTTTAATTTTTATATATAAAAAATTTACATTTTTGTCTTCAATTTAAGTCATCTACAAATTAGTTCTTACCATTTATCAAAATTAAAAATATATTAATTTTGGTCTTTATGAAAAGATATAAATTATATTGAAATAATAAAATTACTCTTTATCAAATAATATATCTTTTTTAACTTTTCAAAAAAATATATACTTTTAGTCACTTAAAATTAATTTTAAAAGTTGAAGTTAATATTTTTTGTTAAAATAATATAAAAATATTAATCTTTATCTTAAAGGTTGAGTTAAGCATCAAAATTAGTAAAATTTTATTTAAAAAATAAATTTATTATATAAAATATATAATAAATATTATTTTTAATTACTTAAAATTAAGTAATCAGTCGCTTAGACTAAATAGGCCTAAGCTACTTAGTTGCACGAACATTTTATTAAAATAAAGTTAGACTTATTGATGGTTTAATTATATTTTTTTTTATTTTAATATATGTAATTTTTTAATTTTAATTGGTCATATTTAATATTTTATCTTTAAAACTTTTTGAATTAAGTTTCATTCTTCAAAATTTTGTTAAATATTTAATAAAATATAAGAATTATGTAATATATTATTAATTTATTAAAAATTATATAAAATAATTTAATAAAAATAGATTTTATTATATTTGGTACATTTTATTTATTGTTTAAATATTTTTATAATTTTTTAATTAATTTATATAAATATATTTTTGAAATGAAAGACTTAATTTAAACAATTAAATAAATTAAATGCAACTAATTTAAACTAAAATAGTATATAAATTAAAATTTAAACACCAAATACATAATTAAAATTTTTATTTAAACATGTAACAGTACAAAACAAAGTTTATATACTAATATTTAGATGTTATGTTATTTGCATAGGAGTTTTATTTATTAAAAAGTAAATTTGTAATATAATATTATAACTTTATATGTTTTATAAATTTATACTAAAAGTATGATACGAAATACATAATTCTATGTGTGTGGACGTGTGTATATTATATAAATTTATATTAATAATATGATAAGTAATGATAATACACAATTCTCTCTCAATTTGTGTGTAATACTGTACAGGATTGTATATTACCCACACAAAATTGTCTATATAATACAGAGAAAATGTGTGCGCTCGTTAATAGTTTAATTTTTATTAAATACAAATTACAATACGAAGATAATTTTAATATTTAGTTATTAAACGATGTGTGTTTGTGTTATTATAACATAAAATGTTAAATTTATAATATTTATGTTAATAATCAAAGTTTTATTAATGACTATCTCACTTTCATTATCATTAATGTTTAGATTAGAATATTTAGGAGGAGAGGAATTAGAAGGAAGAAAAGTATGAATGGAGTACGAATATTTAATGTTTAGATGGGAGAGGAAAGAAGAAGAAGAGTTTATAACGATCCACCATTAAAAAATTCACACTAATTTGAGGGAGAGGAAAAAGAAAAATGAAATTTTTATTTATTTATTAGTAATAATATTCATAAAATTTAAAAATATTAAAAATTTAAAATTACTAAAATACACTGTAATAAAAAATTGAATTAATCTAAATTTTTTATAATTATTCTTAATATAATTTATTTATTTTCTTTTTTACTTGTCTCAATAAATAATTTTTTAGTTAAATTATAAATTTCATCCCTACAAAATAGTCTATACACCTAAAAAGTTACACTTCAATTCCTCTACTGTCATTGTGTCCTTTTACTGTCTTCATGGTGTTTAAAGAAGAATAACGTGGAAGACAAGTACTCCAACTTATCTTTAGGAGCTCTAATCTTTTGAGTTACATTACTTTCGCTGTAACATCTACTTGTGAGTAAATAATGGAAATTGAAAGAAGTGCTATGAGTAGTAGTCGATGGGGGGAGAAGGGTAACATATTGTGAATGTGGAGGTAGAGTGAAGATGTATATGTCAAAAACTAGACAAAACTATGGACACATTCACAATATGTCAGGTACGTGCAACGTTGTTGATTTATGACTCAAGGTTGTTGATACAGGAAGCATGGAGCTATGGGTTTTTTCGGTGGGTGGATTCAACTATATATAAACAAGACACATAGTTTAAGCAAGAAGAGCAAAGAGTTATAGCAAATTTGAAAAAAGGAATTTGGGTTTTAAAATTGTTATATTATTAAGGAAGACTATTTTCATTTCTTGTAATGGTTAGTATTGATGGTAGTGATATGTTATGTGAAAATTGTGAACTAAATCTTACAAATGTGTAGGAAATGAGCTTAGGAATCAAATGGGGCATGTGTACATGTCTAATATAACATCCTTACTATAATTTAAATAATTTTCTTTAATAATATATAAAATTTTTAAATAAAACTTAATGAAAATTATAAAAAATTTGAATAGTTTTGGAAATTTGTACAGTATAAACTGATAAAAGTTAGCAAATTTTTTTAAAAACTTTGTCTGGATAGAAATCTCATTCATGATAAGAATAAAATGTTTCGTAACTTATAGTTAAAATAAAAGATAAAATTTCATATTATATGTATATATATAATTCAAGTTCATAATACAAACAAATTATTTTTCAGTAAATTAAATTTCTAACTAAAATTATATATAAATTAAAATTTAAATCAATTAACTACTAAGTATTCCACATATACCTCTCAATTCTAAATGAAAACTTAATTAATATTATTACATTCTTCTAAAGTAACTAAATCCTAACAAAGCAGTTCTTCTCATCACAGACCAATGTGAGTATAATCTTAAGATGAATCTATCTTTATTTATTTCTTCTTTACCTAAAAAATATTTTGTAGGAGTGAGCATCTTT